TCCTCCCCCTCCTCCTCCACCTCCACTTCCTCTCCCTGTATCGATCTTACTCACGGTGTCCTGTTTTCTCCTTCTTGATTTCCTTTTCTATCATTGTCTGTTGTTTCCTGGTTGAGCTCCCTTCCACTCGTCCTCCCAGATCTCCTCTTCTTCTTTCGTCTTACTCTTCCTCTTCTTCTTCTTCTTCTTCTTCTTCTGCTTCTCCTTCTTACTACTACTACTACTTCTTCTGCTTCTCCTTCTTACTACTGCTACTACTTCCTACTTCTTCTTCTTCTTCTTCTTCTTACTACTACTACTACTACCACTACTACTCTTGTTCTTCTTCCTCCTTCCTCTCCCTCCTCTTCCTTCTTTTCCCTCTCTTCTTCTTCGTCGTCGAGGTCGCCGTCGGCTTCGTTGAACTGGATCCTCTTCGTTCTTCTCGTCTTTTTTATTCAATGCTGTGAACGCCCTCGTTCGTCCTTGTTCGGGGATTACTTGGAGGGTAAACAGACCTTCAAGAAGCAAACAGAAGGCATGTGCTTCAGTCTCCATTAGAGGTATGGCCGTGGGAGTAATAGGGTGGACTATTTGCTAAGGAGAAAGCATGCGGAATAGATTGAATCATTGAAGTAAAAAACTATTCCCTATGAAGCTAGGCTATCAGCCGGGCCGCCCGGGTCACCCTATTTTCCCGGGCGGCCCGGCCGTGCAAGGACTAGGGAAGGTCCCAGCCAAAAAAAATAAAATTAAAAAAAATCAAAAAAATCCGAGAAAAAACTATGTTATGCAGAAAAACAAACTGAACAACATTTGCCTCAGGGTCACATCGAAATTTTCTTTAACAAATTTAAAATAAAAATTTGAACTAAAAAATATATATTTTTTTATTTTTTTATTTTTTTAAATTTCTTTTTGGCCCGGCCAGGCAAGTGGACCCGGGCCACTCTGGTAGTCTAGCTATGAAGTCAAAAATATCAAGGATAAAATAAATAAATTAAAAAAAATCAAGGATACAGCTACTCGCTACACTAGTAAAAGAGCTATTCGCTATTATGTCGAAATCTACTCGCTGCTTAGATCTTCCCTTCCTCAGCAGGGCTATCGGTAGAGATTAGTGCCTGCGCAGCCCAGAGGCACTGATGACTTCACGGATTGGTATCGGGTGAACTTTCGGCTATAGCCATCAGCCGAACGGTTGGCTATAGCATATAGCAAATAGCTGAGCGGTTGTTGGCTAGAGAAGAAGAACATGACACATCATGATTACAAGGGTTGGACTTCAGGCATTCGGGTCTCAGACTTGTCGGGAAATTGCATTCCCTGTGCTTGGTTTATCGAAACCGAGTGCCATTTCATTCGATTGCCAAAATCCGCATGCTATTCTTTGCTAAATACCCGAATGGCGTGCTATTCCATGCATAGTCTAGCTGCATGGTATTCCATGTTATATGCAAATCTGCATGCTGTTTTCTATGCTGTAGACAAAACTGCTTGCTGTTTTCTATGCTATCGACAAAACTGCATGCTGTTTTCTATGCTGTAGACAAAACTGCATGCTGTTTTCTATGCTATAGACAAAAGTGCATCCCATGGTTGAGAGCCGGATGCCGTTCTATACGCTATAGCCACCTGGATTTGGCAACCAAACCACACCATTTAGCTAAACAAATCTAAAATAGCAGAATTGCAATCAGATGGCCAGAGTACATTCTGTAGTCAAACTATATTCCTATAGCCAAACTACATTCGATATGGGAACCGCAGACTATTCCTTGCCATGGTAGATCCGCATGCTGTTCTATAGGTACGATGGCTGTAATCCGCATGCTGTTCTATAGGTATGATGCCTAAAGTGCTATGTCCAAACCGAATCTGGCAGCCAAAACAATGCTATTGCCAAACCGCATTACAAAAGAAAAAAAGAAGAAGAAAAGATATATGCTATAGTAATTGCTCGCTATAGCCAAACCACATCTGGTCCGAGTGCATAGCACAGTGCGCGCTGTAGCCAATTCTATTGTATGCTAAAGTAAATCTGCATTCTGCATTTGTTAAATCCAAACCTCACTCATTCGATACCCATCAGAACTGCATGCTATGGCGAAACTGCATCTTATATATATACCCCTGAACTGCATCCTAAGGCCAAACTGCATCTTATACCCTGAACTGCCTGCTAAGGCCAAAGTGCATCTTATATATACCCTGAAGTGCATGCTAAGGCCAAAGTGCATCTTATATATAGCCTGAACTGCATGCTAAGGCCAAAGTGCTTCTTATAGCCTGAACTGCATGCTATGGCGAAAGTGCATCTTATAGCCTGAACTGCATGCTGTTCTATGCCAGCTTAGTAGTTTGAAGTGGGAGGAATGAACCTGCTGACCTACGGTGCACGCTATAGCCAATTGCATGCTGAAGGAACCTGCATGCTAAATCCAAAGCTCACTCATTTTACAGCCACCAGAACTGCATGATTGATATAACCACACTGCATCTCATAGCCAGGACTGCATGCCATTGTTGCAAAATTGCATCTTATTCTATGCCGACGTAGTAAGAAGCGGGACGAATGAACCTGGTGACCACAGCAGACCGCAGCGTGCGCTAAAGCTTAGCTAGGATGAACACCCGCATTTGCGCGTTGTTTTGGCCAACTGCAGTCTCCCTTGAGCCTCTCCATTTGCGTGCCATTCTATAGCAACTGCAAGCTATAGACTAGAATGTCTCGAGCCAAGTGTGCATGCTATTTTATTTTTATTCCAGAGTAGAATAGCACGCCTCCAGCCGAGTGTGCAGATGCCGTTCCCCCTCCCCCCCCCCCCCCCCCCCCCCCCCCCCCCCCCCCCCCCCCCCCCCCCCTCCTCAAACAAACAAGCATTTGACCCCGGTCAGGTATTAGGAGTTTGTATTTTTGATATAACTTTCCCTTTAAACCACTAGTGCCTCCGAGCCTGTTATTGCCGACCCTGAAAAATTCACTGCGCACCGAGTTTTGCCGAGCCTGGGTCCCGTTCGACTTTGTTTTTATGTACTCTCACGGAAAGAAGAAAAGGGAAAAAAAAAGCACTTACGTCGTCGCGGCCGTGAAACGCACAAAAGAAGGGGAAATAAATTTACTAAAAGGAAACAAAGCTTTGGCCGCGAAATTCAGTTCTACACATTCTTGGACGTGCTACCGTAGTGTGCGAGTGTGCCCTTATGGAGGGCGTCTCAGCACCGTGGGCAGGTTGTCAGAATCAAGAAAGAAATAGAAGAAGAAAAAAAAGGGAACATAGGTTTTGTCCGTGAAATTCGCTGGATGCACTCCTCTTAAGTGCCAGTGTGATCATAATCAAGAAAGAAATAGAAGAAGAAGATAAAAGGAAACATTGGTTTTGTACGTGAAATTGGCTGGATGCACTCCTCGTAAGTGCCAGTGTGATGACGGATACAATCCTGTAAGGAAACACAGCTTCAGCAGATCACGGATTACGCCCTGCCTCGCTGGGAGGGGACTCATCATCAGAAGAAAGAAAAAGAGGAAAAAAAAGGAAAACAACAACATCTGCAATCCAGTCCTTCGGGACATCCGTTCAAATTGGAACGATACGGAGAGAGAGGATTAGCATGGCCCCTGCGCAAGAATGACACGCATAAATCGAGAAATGGTCCATTTTTCTCAAAAAAAATAAAAAAATAAAAATAGAAAAATCCTCAACCTGACGGTTTTCGTTGTAAGATTCATTCTGTGGAGAAGTACTGTGAGCACGGCCTCCCAGACTACCCTGCCCGACATCATTGCAGTACATAATCTTCTTTTTCTTTTTTCCCTTTCACGAGCGGCCCGGATTTTTTTTTTTCCCGATATTCAAGGGATCCCGACCCTCCACGGGGCTCCCGAAACCTTCGGAAACTGTTTTCCCCACACTGGCGGAGGTACTACCTTCTTCCCCCGAATACAACGTACGGTCATTGTAGCTGTATTTGAGGCATCTTTCAGTCTAGATACCCCACTATAATGACCGTACGTTGTACGCGGGGGAAGAAGTTAGTGGTTCAAATAAAAGTTGTACGGTGCTCTATCTCGGCCATGCGGTTGAGTGACACACACATGTAACTGTTTTTTTTTTTTTTTTAACTCAATTTTATTTCACAACAACCGAGGAGAGGCCGGGGACCTCACAATTCAACCCGGAGTTGGAACACGTGTTCGTATCCTGATGGCAGCAGACGCATACAATAAAGTTAATAGGGGTTTACCCCCTGTAAATGAACAGGGTGTTCCCCAAGCGATTCGAATCATCGTTTTGCTTACGCAAGCAATAACTACTCTTCTTCTCCCTGCCGTCAGCCTCCCCCCTCTCCCGGGCCTGGAAGGATGGTTGAAAGACACAACGATCCAGATCACATTGAAGGTTCACGTTCCTCCTTAAGTGTGGGACGATAAAAAGAATGGCAAGAAAAAACGAGGGCTCTTAAAGCCCAACTGATAGACTTAAAAAAAAAGAAGGCAAAAAAAAGGAGCAAGTAAAAAAGAGGAGGGGGGGGATGGTTAATTTTTGGAACTACAATAGGTATGGTAAGATTCCTGAGAACTTAAAAAAAGAAGAAGAAAAAAGATCAGATTCCTGAGAACTGACCCACACACATGTGACTTTTGAAGAGCAACAAGGAAATCCTACCGACGAGTTTGAAATGCGGCGGCTCGAATCTACCTGGCTGGGAAAACCAAATTGCAGACTACGCCCTGGTTTACGTTGTCGTCAATCGGTAATGTGCCAATGGCGATGAGGTAAATTATCGCCCGCTCCTTCAAGAAACATCGGGTAGGCATGATGATTCCCCGTGTTCACATAGTCTTTGACTTGCATCTGCATCCCTTCTTTGTGCTCTTATGCCCTACACTATCCTCCTGCCCCTGCTCCTGCACCTCATTCTCATCCTCCTTCCCCGGACCTCCCCTTCCCTATCCTCCTCCTCCTCCTCCTCTCCCTCTCCTGTCTCCCCCCTCCTTGAAGTAAAAACCCTCTTTGGAGAAAAGCCCTCAAGAAAACCCTATTTGCAAAAAAATGGACCCTTCTGTTCGGCGAACTTAATGTACACGATAGCCTTTTCCCTTGAATGCACTTTTCAGAAACATTTTGTCAGGTCTATCCTTCGTTTGCTTCTCTTTTCTCTCGTCTGTCGTCTTCTCTTTTGTCTCGTTCGTCTGGGCCTCGCATGTGCCAAATAAAGAATGTATCTTCCTCTAGAACTAGGACAGATGCACCAGCCATAGTTTTTGCCTTCTTTTCACATTTGGTGAGTGGTGTGGCAAGGCCGTCTGTTTCAGTCTGTTATGGATTCTCTGGCGCTGTTAGAAATTCTCTTGACAACCCCCCTTGCAAAAGCTCCTTCAGGAGAAATGTGAAGAGGTACGATCTGGACCACCAGACAGCACAACGGGCAGGGCATCTGGACCACTTGCCAGACCAAGTTCGGAATTCCAGATCAGAAATCTGGCGGCGCAAGTCCGAAACAAAGATTTTTTTGGGGGGTGGCAGTGGGCAGGGCCGAGAGGAGAGACGGAATCAAATAAAAATCTCTGAAGAAAGTGTGTTGCGTAGAATTGCGACATAAACATTCTTGGGCTGATGTCTGTTCTTGGGTCAAACAGGACATTTTAGATGCTTGATTTTGCCCGCCTCTGGACTGTCGACCTATGGGGCAAGGGCATACAGGGTGCCACCGCTGGCCTTTTCGGTCTGGTATGCCGAGCCTTTCCACGGCATCGTGTTAACCGACACATTCGTGCAGGTAGGTGTGGTGGTTTAAGGGAGAACACAGCTCTCAGAAAACAACAACAGAAAAAGGAAACAAAGATTGACAACATCAAACTGTTTTGGATTGCTACGTCCCTCTGCCGCATTTCGGTCGTCTCCGTGAGCGGCCATCACCAGGGGAGTTGTGCTGTGGATGAATCCAGGGATGATGACCATATGTTCTCTTTGGGGAGACGAAGATGGATATTTCTGCATGACTATGTTGATGTTTACAAACACTAGCTAACCACAGTAACTCACCAGAGTAACTCTCCACAGTAACTCACCACAGTAACTCACCACAGTAACTCACCACAGTTAATCACCACAGTAGCTCACTGTAGTAAGTCGCTACAGTGTTCTCCCTCAGAAAATAGCAACAGTAGAAGCGAAAAAAGAGGTTGACTACATCCAACTGTTTTGCACTGCTAATGAAGGTGGATATTTCTGCATTAACTATGTTGATGTTTACAATGCCACCTTTCACAGTAACTCACGACAGTAACTCACCGCACTCGTTACTGTGACTTGCCTCATACTCAGCACAGTTACTCACCATTTTGACTCAGGGATGTAAGTTGTTACTGTGACTCGTTACACTAACTCACGACACTAACTCTTGACACTAACTCATGACACTAACTCACGACACTAACTCGCTAACTCACGACACTAACTCACGATCGAAACCGCGGTTGCGTACGTGGGAGAGGAGGATCGCATTGACGAGTTTTTGCAGACCCTCGTGGGGGACAATCGGTTGGGCGCAGCGGCTAATAGATACGCAGGCTACAGAGAGTTTGCGAACCTGTGCGGTTACAACCGGCGACACTAACTCATGACACTAACTCATGACACTAACTCATGACACTAACTCACGACACTAACTTGCTAACTCACGACACTAACTCACGACACTTAACTCACGACACTAAACTTGCTAACTCACGACACTAACTCACGACACTTAACTCACGACACTAACTCACAACACTAACTGAGCAGGTTCACTCACTGCACAAACTCGCCATGCTCATGCACCACAGTAACTTACTATAGTAACGCGCTTTGGTAACTGGTGACTGTACTAGCAAACTGCCTGAGGTTACTTTGGTGGATAGCAGTTGTGATTGATGGCTATGTTAAACTGGACATGTGAGCTGATATTGTCAGCCAACAACTAAGAAGAAGAAATACGTCACACTGTCAGTTGTCTCAAGGATGGAACTGTGGTGGCCCATCCATATGTTTGGCCAAACGCCAGCTGAAAATGCTGTGCGGCTGATTCTTTGTTTTTTCTTTTTTCGTTGTTTTGCCCCTCCCTTTTGTTTCATGTCGTGAAAGGACTAATCGGTCCAGACATGGACTTTGTCAAATCTGCATAGCCTGCAGTCATGGAATCTGGTCTGGAAACCTTAACCATTGACGCACACAGCTGGACTCCGTTTCGTGACTCCACAGTCGGGCCATGCAGACCCAAGATCCTCTCTGCTACCGGTAGTGGGCTGATCTGATTGGTTAAAAAAATGCTTATGTCATTTATTCGGTTGATTTGTGAACTGGTGGTTCTTTCTGCAGGCTGCCAACACCATGTTGATGGACATCCCACAGAGTGCAAGCCAAGCTGCTTCAGCCGGGGTGAACGCTTGTGCGGCAGCACTTGCCCAACGACAGCTCCTTCATCATAGAGACAAGGAGGTCCGACTCTTCGTTGCGTCGTGCTTGAGCGACATACTACGTGTGTCAGCACCGGAGGCACCTTATGAAGATACAGTCCTAAAGGTTTGTTGGGGGCTGCGCTTTGGCCTGCATGCCTCTGTGCTTTCCTTTTCTTTTCCTTTCTTTTTCTAGGGTTTGTTGTGGTCTGCGCTTTGACCTGCATGCCTCTGCGCTTTCCTTTTCTTTTCCTTTCTTTTTCTAGAAGTGGTAGCTCCTCACGTTGTGGTAGTCACCTGATTCAATCAGGATTGCAACTCACGATCGAATTATGAACAGCTACCTGTGCGTACCATTCAGCCACATGGGCAGGATACTTGGCTTCCTGTTTGCTTGCGTGGGCTGTGGTCGCTATATAATGATATAATTTGCTTTTTTGTTTGCTTGTTGGCTTTGGGTTGTTGACGTCTGTTTTTGGCTTTATTGATTGATAGCTCCGGGTCTCTATTTGTGAGGCCTGTTTGTTTGCTATCATTTATTTTAAGTTCTTTTTCTGATGTTTTCTGATGTTTAAATCATTTCTCTCCCTTTTTCAATTTGCATTTCTGTCGTGTTCACAACCTCACAGATGCTGTTGCAAAGGTGCAGAGAATCTGCTTGTACATCTAGAAGAGGAAAAGGGTGGCTGGGGGGAGGGGGTCATTTCATACTTTATGCTTCATGACTTGATTCAGACTGAATCTTCATATAAAGTTTCAGGGAACCTTCTATGTATTGGTGGGGTGGGGTGGGGTTGTGGGGGGGGGAGGGAAGGAGGGGGGAGGGAATTTCCTTATTGATGTTGTATGACTTGATAATCTGGTATGTGGAGAATCTGCTCTCAATGTCTATATGGGAAAGGTGCAGGAGACTTCGCAGCTAGCTCTTTCATTGAAAGATTGCAAAAATTGGAGGGCAGACTTTCAATTTTGATAGTGTAGCTCTTGTGATATGATGGCGGTCGTTCTTCACACTGTCTGCTGTGAAAGTAAAGTTCTAAAACTGGCTTCCTTTTGGTGGTTTGCTTCGATATGCAGGATATATTCAGCCTCATGGTGAGCATCTTTCATGGGCTGGATGATCTACAGAGCCCGCTTTTCAGTCGACGCGTCAGCATACTAGAGAGCATGGCAACAGTGAGAATATGTGTTGTAATGCTTGACTTAGACTGTGACGACCTTATATTGGAGCTCTTCACCAGTTTCTTTGATACCATCAGGTGTGCTGTTACTCTCGTTCGCACTCTTTTCTCTTCCTGTTACTCTGGTTGTCCTCGACTTTAGCAGTCTCCTCCTTCCCCCTTTACTTCCTACTGTGTATCCTGAAACCATCAGGCGTGCTGTTACTCATTCTTGCTCTTTCCTTTTCTTGTTACTCTGGTTGTTTTTGACTTTGGCAGTCTCCACGATCCCCCTTTGTGTCCTACTGTGTGCCCATCATCTTCATGTTCTTCCTTGTTTGCCTGCCTTTCTCTCTGCTTGTGCCTGCCTTTTTCACGTTTCGTCGTCCTCTGCTCATTCTCCCTCTCCTGTAGGTGTTCACTGGCTCTGTTCTTATTCTCTCCTCTCCACCGCTCTCCTCTCTTTGTTCCTCTTCTCTCCTCCTCTCCTGGCGCTCTCCTCTCTTCACTTTCTCTTCCCCTCCTCTCCTCACTTTCTCTTCCCCTCCCTCCCTCCCTCCCTTGCTGTTGGGGATATGGCTTCTTTCCATTCTTGGGAACATCATTCCGGTTCCTGTTCCACCAGCGTGTCAAGAACTCAGTTCAACTCGCTCGCGAGTTTTCCTCGGAATGGTGAGGAGATCTCTGGCCCTGGTTTGACTCCAAATAATACATCTTGTGTCGGATCGTATTTGCTTTGTGCAGTTCATGATCGGACCAGTCCGTCGGTAGTTTAGTTCATATGGTTCATCAGAGGCAAGCTAATGTAGGTTTTTGTGCCATTAACATTTTTTTTTTAATGCATGCAGTCCTGAGCATCCTCGGACAGTGGCGAAGTCTATGGTGGGGGTGATGACTATTCTCCTCGAAGACAGGGATGAAATTCCCCAGCAGCTACTGGATTCTATTTTATGCAGTCTTCTCAAGAGAAAGCGGGTGAGTGTGTGTGGCTTCATGCATCTGTGTGTTAAGCTGGAAGAGTGCATTTTGTGTGGATGTGCCCCCATGCATTTTATGTGGACCCTTGGTAGGGGAGGTTGCAATAATATAATATGCTCGTTGTGTGGATTTGGCCATGAATGGACGTCTGTGCATCTGAGGTTTTTTTCTGTCTTTGTTGTGTGTGTGTGTGTGGTATGGTGAGGGGGGGGTGAGAGGGGCGTGTGTCATTGTGTCTGGGCGTGTATGTGTAGCCACATAGTGTGGATAAGGGCATACTCACACTAGGACTTTCTGGCGCGCATTCACATTCTGTTGAAAAAGTCTTAATGTATGGTTAAGAGAGTATGCATGTGCTTAGCTTTGACCTTGGCAAGTTCATTAGTGACCAACGAGGATCGGAAGGGAAATGAAGGGAAGGAGCGGAAAGAGGAGAATGGAG